AACTTTCTGAGCCATCCTGGGGCTGGGCTGTGTTGACGTCAGGGCCCACTGGCGTTGCTGTGGAACCATCCAAGCAGGGCTGTTATTGCTCTTCTCTCCCAGGTGAGCAAGGAGCAGTGTAGCAGCCCACCTGGGCCCGTCAGCTGGGCGGGACCAACAAGAAGCAGAGCAGAGCAGGGGCCTGAAGGTGTGCAGGGGACGTCTGGCCCCAGAGTTCTGGCCCCGGGCTCCCAGTGAGCCGATGTGGGGCCCAAGAATGCAGTTTCCAGTCTAGCAACCTCATGTCTGGGTAGAATTTAACCAGCAGTGGAAAGAATACAGGGTTCACAGTCAAACCTGAAGTTCCAGCTCTGACCTTGCCACTAACTTGCCGTGTGACCTCACGCCAGTAACACCCCTCTGAGCATCAAGTTTTCCAATTTCTCAATGAGGCGGCTGCATGAAGCCGCTTATTGGACCACCTCTCCTGCTGATCCTAGAAATTTTGTTAGTTCCACAGGGCTTGGGCCTGCATGGCCTGGCTCCAACAACAGCAGAGGGCAGCATCTGCCTGGCCGAGGGTCCTCACTGCAGTTGTGTCCCTTCCTCCACGGGGCACCCTTGGCTGGGCCGTCCCCACTCTGCCTCCTCTCATTTTGGTCTGGTCTGGTGTTTCAGCCAGTCCTAGAAAAAGGGCCGGGGTATCTCACTGTCCTGTTGTCCTTGGCAGAGACAGACTGGCCGGGTCTAGCTCAGGAAACAGACTCAGGAGACCACCCAGCATGGTGTTGGGACAGTGGAGGTGGAGTTACAGGCAGCCCATGTCGCTCGGTGACCGTGGGACTGCATCTCTTGCCCAACAGTTAGAATCCCCTGACCATAATGGGCGGTCCACGCGATTACCCACCGCCCTCCCTGGTTGTGCAGGGTCCTCAGCAGAGGGCTCTGTGTCATGATGGGAACCTTCAGCTTTCCTCCTCCTCCTCTGTGCTGTCTTAAAGGAATGCAGGAAGGCAAAGGTGGGGGTTGCTGGACTCCAGGCTGCGTACTGTCCCCTTAGCCTAGGGCAGGCTGCTAGCCTCCATGGCCCTCGTCTGGAAGACAAGAGGGGGGAGTGGGCATTCTTGGGACAGCCTGCTTTGGAAACCAGCCCCTCGCTGAAGGGCAGCTCTGCTCTGTCCTCTAGGACCATCAGGAGTTGGAATCGACAGCGCTGGGTGGCTTTGGTTTATCTGGGAGATACTTGGTTTGGAAAACCCTGTCCTGACAGAGGACCACGGAGGCCTCTTCTAGCTGCGAGTTTTGAGGAGAGCAGCCGTCAAACATGGGTGAATAGAAACAGCCTATACTTGAGCTCAAAGGCTCATAGCTGACCCTCCAGTGAGTTTTCAGAGGCTGTACATCTCACAGGGGGAGATTGTTCATCTGTCTCCTGTGGAGCAGCTGGTGGATTCAAACATCCCACTTTTCAGTTAGCAGCTTAACTGTTTAACCACTAGACCATGAGAGTCTCCTGGGAGTAGCCCATCAATCTGGCGAAACACATTGACTTCCCTGCCTCCTTTCTCTGACCCCAAGGAGTCTCACACCAATGCTGAGCCAGGTCCGGGGATCAACAGGTGTACAGCACACACGAGGTTGGGCCCAGGTAGATCAGTGCTGAGGTGTCAGAGGAAGTTTGATGTTATGATCACTTCGATGGTCAACTCCTAGTGTGCTGTCTCTGTCTCCACAGCTGGGGGCCCTGGTCCACAGTCCTGTCAACTGTCCCCTGCTGGGCTTCTCTGCGGTCAGCACCTCCCTTCCGCAGGGCTACCTCTGGGTGAGTAACCCGTGCCAAACCAGGAATTCTGGTCCTGAGGACGGAAACAGGGAGGTTGATACCTGGAAGAGGGGGGCTAGGGGTGGTCACTTGCCTGCTAACCCTCCCTCCATGCTGCACCTGAATCCAGCCAGGTCTTCTGGGACCCTGGGTGCCAAACACTGTGCTCCATGTTGTGAGGTGCATGGAGCCTCCTTGTTGGGTGAGGAGAGACTCACAGCCAGGAAGCCAATAAGCGTCATTAGAGCCATGAAAGGACATCAGGGAACCACGGAGCATGCTGGAGGCAGGGTCTCCACCTAGGAGCCAGGAAACAGAGCTTGCTATTACAGATCTCTCACGGAGAAAACAGGCCACCTTTCTGTTCTTTGGATTCCCGGAAAAGCCTTTTGCAATTCAAATAGGTGCCCCTGCCATGCCCACACAATGTAGTTTGTACCCTTCTGACATCAGCTTCTGGAGGTTTCAACTTCATCATCCCCTCTGACTACCTCTAGCTCCTTCTGTTTATACCTATCTCTAGGGACTTGAATAGCAGAACTTCGGTGTCAAGTTCAAGTGCCTGCTCTAATGGTGATTTGTTTCTCACTGTTTATCTAGTATTTAGCATATGATGCTAGATCCATCCAAACAGCCAATCAGCCAGCCATCTGTCCCTCTACCAATCCACCCACCCACCTACCTATTCATCCATCTATCCAACCAC